ACACTTTTGTTCAGGTTTTCTTTCTTTTTTAAAAAAAATCTATGTATATATATAAAGATAGGTTTATTTATTTTGAGAGAGAGAGAATAAGTGTGTGAGCAGGGAGGGGCAGAGAGAAAGAGGAAGAGAAAATCCCAAGCAGGCTCTCCACTGTCAGCACAGAACCTGATGCGTGACTCAAACCCACAAACCAAACCATGAGATCATGACCTAAAATCATGAGTCTGACACATAACCGACTGAGCCACCCAGGTGCCCCTTGTTCATATTTTCTTAATGGCAGTTACGGAACAGAGTTCCATGATGTTCTACAGACAAGCAAACAATTGTTTTGAGGGATTTGATATATAAAATGAGAAATATGTATAAATGTACATACCTAATCAAGTATACTGATAATATTATATAACTTTCATGCTTTCTCATTTATTCCTTTTTAGGTCACCCACTTGTGAAAGACATATTTTGAAATATTATATTGTTGTAATGTTTTAATTGCATTTCTGTTAGCTTTTGCTTTATATATTTAGCTGCCTTGTTGTTTGGTACATACCAGTTTATAACTGTCACTGCTCCATAAATTGTGCCATCACAGAGTCAAGTGCCTACTTTTTCTCATCTAGTACTTTGAAGCCTTCCTAACTCTTATTCTAATTTTTACTGAGATTCTTTATCCTGTTGGTTGTAAACCAGTGTTTCTCAGTCTTCTTTTTACTACCACTTTACTATGGAGATTTTTAGACATTTTTTTCCTAAACCTGCCCCCACCCAACCATAAAATTTTAATACCACAGACATGTTGCATATTGTATGTATGTATGTATGTATGTATATATATATATATATACTTTTGTAAAAAGAATAATTTATACACATAGGCACATAGTGAACCAACTCAGCCCCTGTAGGGTAACAGCACCTCCCACTGAGAATCACATAATAGATTCTCAGTAGAACAGTAGACCTTCCCCTGTAATGTGTCTCTTCCATGTTAAGGATCCTTATTTAGTAGGCACATCAAACACATAATCCATGTCATCTTTCTCATTACTTGTCTCTTCTCCTCTTCATCCTCCTTGATGGTGTTTAGTGTTCTTTACTATTTAATTAGATTCTTTCCTTGAATATGTTCTTCATACAGGTTTTGTAGGTAATATAGTTTTTAAATCTTTATATATCTGAAATAATTTTTTTCACTCTGGCAGGTAAAATCTTTGTCTGAGTAAAGCATTCCTTTGCTTTAGTTATTTTTTCTTTTATACTCTGTAGCCACCGTGTACCAGCTTAGTGTTGCAGATGGTTGGCTCCATGCCAGTCTGATCCATTTTGCTTGATAGGTAACTTTTGTTTTGTTTTGGGCCAGAAGGTTTTAAGAATTTCTCTTTCTCTTTGGTACCTAATGTACCACAGAGAATGTACCTAAATGTGTCTTTCCACGTTGCACTTTCATCTTCAATTATCTTTCAACATGTAGGTTTAGATCTTTCCTCAGGTAGGACAATTTTTCTTCTGTTACTTGTAAGTTTACTCTTTTTACTTCTTCTTTTATTCTAATACACCTGTTAGCCACATGTTATATATCCTCAATTTATCTATCACCCTTTCCTTCCCTTGTCACCCTTATGTTTTCTTGTCTGTGCATGCATGCATGTGTTCACTTTGAGATATTTCTTCCTTGAGATCTTCAGACCACTGATTTGGGTCTTAACAGTGGCTATCATATTTTTTAATTATTCTTATAATTTAGCTCTAAAATCATAGAGTGTTAGTTCCAGCCATGCTTGCCTGTCCTCAAGTACTTACATTGTGTTTTAGCTCTAGTTCTGTCTTCTCAAATAGTCTGTATCATCAAGTGCCCGTTGTGTTAAAAAATCTTCTCTCTTATTGGGCCCCTTAAATGCACTGATATTTGACTTTATCAGATTATTAGTGGCTTCTTCCTATTAGGTAAAGGAGGGGCAGTATTAGGTGGTTAATTAACCCCCCTCAATACTTCATACTCCAATCACTAGGCAGGCTTCCTGGGCTTAATTGGTTTAAACTCCTTAACACGCCTGAGCTACTGACTATCTTCATGATGATTCATTTAATTTTGAAAATTTTCCTACTTTTTCTTATCAGAAAGGGCAAGTTTTTAAGTTAGTTGATCCTTGAACACACAGTGGTTAATGGGGTACCAACCCCCTACGTAGCTGAAAATCCATGTATAACTTTGACTCCCCAGAACTTTGATACTAATAGCCTCCTGTTGATCGGAAGTCTGACTGATAACATAAATAGCCAAGTAGCACATATTTTGTATGTTACATGAATAATAAAGTAAACTAGGAGAAATGTGATGAAGAATATGAGGATGAGAGAATACATATACAGGACTATGCTATATTTATCAAAAAAAATCCAAGTATAAGTGGACTTGTGCACTTCAAACTGTGTTAAGAGTTAACTGTACTGATTTTTAAAAACCAAAGGGCTTTTGTGTTCCTTTATAAGAATACAGTGAGTAGATTTAACTCAGAAAATAGTAGCCCTCACTACAGATCTCGACATAGAGAAGGTGTTTCATACCTTTGTTACTACATTCTGATGTCTTAGCAAAAATGTGTGGATAGGAAGGTAAGACACTGAAAACAGAGGAGAAGATCCCCCCAGGCCCAAGTTCCTTACAATAAGCACTATAATTAACAATTTTAAGAATTTTGGGTGCGAGTAATCAGCACATACTAACAGTAAAAATAAGCTTTATTTAATGACAGTCTGCCAGTATCTGTAGATTTGGGAGTTTCTATTTTCATCCATGTTTGAGAGTTCTGGTCTTCATTTTAAATCTCACAAAAATAACACAGTGGGAATCAATTTAAGGCACAGATCCAGAAATACAGATAGGTTAGAAGATCTCTTATGTTTCATTTGTACTAAACATATCATGAACTAAGAGCAAAAAAAAAAAAAAAATTGTGTGTAAAAATACCAGCCCATTACTGGTGAGTCTCATCAAACACAAAGCACATAAGCCTTTTCTCTGTGTGAAGGGGGAAAATACGAACAATCTGTGACTAGATGATGGCTGTGAGTCTGGGCTCCAGAAATCTGGACCATGCAGACATCACCAAGCATCCAAGCGTGTGTGACAAGACTGTAGTGCACATCAGCAGAGTGCCAGAGCTGACAAGGAAGGTCGTAATGGTGATAACCCTGCAGGAGAACACAGAGCCCCGCCACCTGGATGTCCCTCTCGGCCTCTATCTGAGCCTCTCACTGCCCAGGCCCTTACCTCTATGCAATAAACCTGAAATCCACAAGGACCCTGCAATCTGCAAGTCAGCTGCTGTTTTCTTTCCTCTGTCCTCTGTCTCTCCATATGTTTTTCTCTCTCACTCCCCACTCCACCTCTTTTAAATTAGCAGTTGACAACAGCCTTCTGCACTCATTCAGGGTCTCCAAGGAACACCTGGTCTGCTGTGAGCCTGCCTCTAGGCTCTCGGTGCAGAGTAATTCGATGAGCTCCACTTTGGGCAACCTTGATTAGCACCCTTAGTTAAAGGAAGAGGAAACCTCGGTGCCTGCCGTGGGGTACAACTCCCACTCATGCCAGCCACTCCTCCCTACCAGCTGGCCCTAGCTCCCTCGTCCTCCTTACCCTCCAAAGCTTTAGGCTTTCTTTGATCTTTGACTTCTCTGCTTTCTGAGGCTGAACTGCAGGAATCACGTGCCACATCCACATTTCCTCCATTCTGTCTTCTCAGTCTCCATCCTCTGTACATAATCATTATTAACGGTCGATTCTTTTCTTTTATTTTGTTAATGTTTATTTTTGAGAGCAAGAGAGAGACAGAGGGTGAGTGGGGGAGGGGCAGAGAGAGAGAGGAAGACACAGAATCTGAAGCAGGCCCCAGGCTCTGAGATGTCAGCACAGAGCCCAATGCAGGACTCAAACTCAAGAACCGAGAGATCATGACCTGAGCTGGATAGGGTGACTGAGCCACCCAGGCGCCCCATTAACAATCTATTCTTCTCAAAGCAGGATAAAACTTTGCCACTTGGGGGCCATTAAAAGCAAAGCCTTATTGCCTGTCTGACCCAGGAAGGCATTTGAGTTTGTGGCTGAATAACAAAGATCTGAAAAATCAATAACAGAAGACCAGTTCCTTTTATGATAAAGAGAGAGAGCCTATGAGCACACACAAGGGGAAATAAACAGGAGACAGGCTTGCAGTCCACTCGCCTGAGATGATGTAATGGCTACAGACCTACCTCTCCTCAGAGTTTCCTGGAGAATAAGACTTACTATAGAAATTTAATCCTTGTGAAAATCTTACAGAAGCAAAACCTTTACTGTTTATTTTGTATTTTTATTTCAGTCATTTTTGGGTGGTGCTAGTAATTACAGATTCCTAGGCAGAGCATTAGTTGAATTCAGTCAGAGGTTTTAAACCAGAAGGTGAATTCAGGCAGATCACGGAGAAGTCGCCCTGACATTTCCCATAAGAGCTCCCACTGAAAGGGTACTTACCTACGACTAATGCCTTTAATTCTCACAAAAAACCTTCTACAGTAAATATTAATATTATGTACATTTTACTGAGGAAGAAGCTGTAGGTTAGTGAGATTCAGAAATACAATTTATAAACCGGAAAACCAGCTCGAATCCAATCTCGGCCCAAACACAGCTACTGTTCTCTGCTGCCCCTTCATGCTTAGATAGTGTCAGAATTCATGAAGAAGTAAAAGAAGAGTAGATTTGCACCGTAGCATCAACATTGTGATGGCAAGAATTTTGGAGTTGTACAACACTCAAGAGAGCATAATCTCTGTTCGTGCTACTACTGTGTTTATGTAACTCTTTTGGAACAATTTTCCATGAATATCAGTTGCTGAAGTGCTTGCCTTTTAAAATTTGAATGAATAGTTTCAATTTTTAATAAGTTTATTTATATCTGTTTAAAATAGCATACTTGCAGCATTTCTGACTTTCCTTGTCTCTGAATATTTTTTCCTAGGGTCAACGTCTTTTCGAAAAGTTGCTCCAGCTGACTTCGCAAAATATCGAAATCAAGCTAGTGAGTGACGTAACAGCTGACTCAAAGGTATTAGAAGCCTTGAGATTAAAGGGTAAGGCCAAGGTTGCTATGCTACTCTACCCCTGAGGGATTCTGTTCAGATGTCTTTCATTTTGCTTAAAATAATACATGATTTTTTTTAATCGTCAACACATTGCATGTATTACACTTCTTACTTCTCCTTTGAAAAATAGCCCGATTAAAGCCTTTAAATGAGAGGACTAATTGATCAATACTACTGGGAGATTTTAAATAGTGTTGTTGCACATTAGTTTCTGCAAAATAATCCCCTGGCCGTTACATGGTAATTAACGAGAAAGAAGAATCTTTCCCTCTTCGAACACTTCCGTGATGTGATTAAGGAGCCACTTTTCATTTGAACAAACATTGGATTTCTGTTTTTCTTTCGTCCTTCAAATGGAAGTTCTTCTCATGTGACATCTTCTCTCAAGATAATATAGTCAGATGGAGGAGTCTGTGAAACCGGCCTGATATACAACTTCTGAGATAATTCCACAGAGAGCAATCATGCATAGGCCATTTTGTAGTTTGGCTCAAAATCCCATGAAGACGGAGAATCATTTTGAAATAGCTCTCTTCATTTTGCTCTGTCTTCACTAACTGAACCGTCGCTTCTGAACAGTTTCTATGCCTTTGTAAAAATGTTGGCCCTGAATTTATCTGAACAGTTTCTATGCCTTTGTAAAAATTTTGGCCCTGAATTTACTCTTTGGGCTGTAACCCTTCGAACACAAATGGCAGGTGTGAGCCAGTGAAAATGCTTGAGCTTCCCAGCGACCCCGGGAGAGGACAAGGCGTTGGCCCCAGTGAGGGTGTGTCACCTGATGGCATTGCATCTCACGTGTGTGCTCCTTAAATATGTCGGCCATTTTTGCTTGTCATCTTCCCCAGACTGTTCAGTGAAAACATCTTCTGGAAAATTCAATGGACTGTGAAGGAAAGGGTGAGCCCAAGTGGTCTTTCCTTCTGCAGAAGAAAAGTTGGAAGTGATAAAGCCTATAGAAAGACATAAATACATGGAAGACATAGCTTGGTCAGGCACATGTGTAGTATTTTTTTGTGTGTGAGGAAAATCAAGGTAACTTATGAGGTACTCTTAGTCCTGAGCTTCAGTATGCTACCTGAGCACAGCATAATATTTTTGAAAAATAGTGGATTAACATGAATTAGAAACGTATTATTACTTTTCCTGTTTGAAAAATGTGACATTGGGTTCCCACTCAGATAAAACCCATTATCTGACACATTAGGAATGGATTACTTTGAGGTAACTCTGGGTGCCTGTATTTGCAGATAAATTTCCAATGGCATCTACTACCATACACACACACACACACACAGAGCACATATATACACAAATGCACCACACACACACAGCCCCCATGTATACAAACACACATCCCACATACACACACATCAGAAGCATCTGAAGTGCAGCACGTTGGCTTAGCTGATGCGCTTCCTCTCTTTCCTTCTAGCAACAACCCCTTGACCTGAGTTCCCACCTGCCCAGCCTCTCAGGCTGCACATGCGCATCAGAGGGGACACTGTGTGATTTCCAACACTTGAAATTGTGGAAAACTACTTCATAAACTGTTTTTCCTAGAAATAAATTTGCTTTGTAAGTCTTATTTTTCCCTTTCCTTATTTTTTTAAAGTTTTATCTATTTATTTTGAGAGAGACAGAGATAGTGGGAGCAGAGGAGGGGCAGAGAGAGAGAGAGTGTGTGGGGAGAGAATCCCAAGCAGGCTCCACACTGTCAGCACAGAGCCCAACATGGGGCTTGAACTCACAAACCATGAGATTATGACCTGACCTGAAACCAAGAGTCAGACACTTAACCAACTGAGCCACCCAGGCGCCCCTCCTTATTTTTAATTTATATTTTAGTTAGTTAGCATACAGTGCAATAGTGGTTTCAGGAGTAAAATTCAGTGATTCCTCACTTACATGCAACACCCAGGGCTTATCCCAACAAGTGCCCTCCTTATTACCCATCCCCCATCTAGCCCCTCCCCCACCCACCTCTTTCCATCAATCCTCAATTTGTTCTCTAGCATTAAGAGTCTCTTGTGCCTTGTTTCCCTCTCTTTTCTCCCCTCATATGTTTATCTATTTCGTTTTTCAAATTCCTCAAAGGAATGAAATCATATGGTATTTGTCTTTCTCTGATTGACTTATTTCACTTAGCATAATACCTTATACCTCCATTCACTTCATTGCAAATGGCAAAATTTCATTATTTTTGGTGGCTGAATAATATTCCATTGTGTGTGTATCCATTCATCAGTCAACGGACATTTGGGCTCTCTCCATTTGGCTATGGTTGATAATGCTGTTATAAACATTGGGGCACATCAGGTTTTTGAGGATCCTCCATACTGCTCTCTAGAGTGGCTGTACCAGCCTTCATTCCCACCAACAGTGCAAGAGGGTTCCCCTTTCTCCACATCCTCGCCAACACCTGTTGTTTCTTGTGTTGTTAATTTTAGCCTTTCTGACAGGTATGAGGTGATATCTGATCGTGGTTTTGATTGGTATTTCCCTCATGATGAGTGATGTTGAGCATCTTTTCATGTGTCCATTAACCATCTGGATGTCTTTGGAGAATTGTCTATTCATGTCTTCTGCCCATTTCTTAAGTGGGTTATTTGTTTTCTGGGTGTTGAGTTTGATAGGTTCTTTGTAGATTTTTTTATGCTAAGCCTTTATCAGATATGTCATTTATAAATTGATGTCTTCACGGGCTTTCATCTTTGTTTTTTGTTTTTGCATTTTATCAGCTCATAACCCTGGCCAGAAGATTAGTCTGAAAGTGATGTGTTCATTGCTGAATGGGCATCCTGTGTGAAATGGCTTCTCACTGCCTAATGCCTCACAGGCAATCTAATGTGACATGGGACTGTCACCAAGTCCTTTTTCTTCCTTCATACCTGCCTTCACAGGGAGTATGTCCCCGGATGCCTCCTATAGCAGTGGGCAGTAGGGAGTGTTTCTTTCATGTTCTCTCCCTGTTCATGCCTCCCAGCCGATGCCTCAGAAGCTTCCCCACGCCACCCCCACCCCTCACCACCAAACCGCATGCTGGTAAAATCACAGCAATGTGGTTTCATACTACAAACACAATGTTTATTTCTGGCTGTGTTTTTTAGCCATTAGCAAAATATTATTTCTCAGTTATACTACTGTGTTTCTTAAGGCTTTATTTTTTAGAACAGTTTTAGGTTTACAACAACTTTGAGAGGAAGGTACAAAGATTTCCCACATACTCCCTACCTCAGCACGCACACAGCCTCCCCATCATCACCATCACTCAGCAGAGGGGGGCATTTGTTACCAAGGATGAGCCGACATTGACACATCATCATCACCCAAAGTCCACAGTTTACCTTAGGAATCACTCTTGGTGTTTTACATTCTCTGGGTTTGGACACTTATATATGACATATATCTATCATCATAACATCATACAGATTATTTTAATGCCCCTGAAAATCCTCTGTGCTCTGCCCATTCATCTTCCTACCTACTTTGTTTTTAATCCTTATATTCTATAGAGATATTGTTGCAATGAAATTTATAATCAAGAAGAACTGGTTTTTTCTTTGTCTTTCAAAACCATAGCAATTCAGTGTGCTTTCTATAATATGACTAAAATATTTGCCTCAGTGGCCTAACAAAAATTAAGAATAAAACATTAAGCCATGGGGCACCTGGGTGGCTCAGTTGGTTAAGCGTCCGACTTTGGCTCAGGTAATGATCTCATGGTTTGTGGGTTCAAGCCCTGCGTCGGGCTCTGTGCTGACAGCTAGGTCAGAGCCTGGAGCTTGCTTCAGATTCTGTGTCTCCCTCCCTCTCTGACCCTCCCCTGCTCATGCTGTCTCTCTCTGTCTCTCTCAGAAATAAATAAAACATTAAAAAAAATTTTTAAAGAATAAAATGTTAAGCCAGAAAATATAAATTTTCTTTTGGGAAAAACCAGGCTATTGCCTGTTCACTATTGGATGATAACTTTTTAATAGAATGACTGAGATAAAAGTCATTAAGTAATCCTTAATCAGTGATCTAGAAATAAAGTCCACAGTTCTTTAAAAAAAAAAAAAAGAAAGAATAAAAGAAAAGAAAAAAGCACTTGAAGCCATTAAGATCTGAATCTCCTTTTCAGTCTCATTGTTATAATTTTCTGTTGTTGGCTTTCCAAATATATGAAAGATAATTGCGGTTTCCCAAATATAGCATGCTTTTCCAGGCCTCCATTTCCTAACACACACTTTTCCCTGTGTTTGAAATACCCTTTCTCCCCTTAGTGATTTGCAAGCTCTTGTCATCCCTCAAGGTCCATTTTCAGCCTTATTGATAGTATTTCCTTCAGACATCCTCCCTTTTCCCAGTTGGTCTTACCATCTTCTTTTCTTCCATTGTTCATTCATTATTTGCTCAACAGCGATCCCTTGAATATCTGACAGGTCCCTCCGCTGGGCTTTAAGATAGAAACTTGATGAAGGCGTGAGCCTTCCCCTGACTTCAGAGAGTTTACGGTTTGCTAGAGCAGACTGACATTAGTGAAGTAAAATGATCCAGGAATTCTTGAAACATCTATGCAGAGTCCAATTTTTCTGAATCACTTTTTGCATCTGAGTCATGGATGCCTGTGTTTCCCACCCAATACATCTCTACCATCAAGATTCTGGTGCTGCTCTAACTTTAGAAACAGACTCCCTGCTATTGTCTCCTCTCTAAACAGACTTCCGTTCTACTTTCTTGGAAGCTTACCAGAAAATGTCAAAAGAAGATATTCTGACAGTAACCAAGCCTCGCAGTCCTTCCTCAAAGAGGCCTTAAGTGGTTTGCTGACTGAATATTGAGAAACTACAGGAGCCCTGTCATGCCCCTGGGAATAACAGCCAAGACAGGAAGTGACAACTCGATCACAGCTGTCACCCCGTCTACCGCAATCCCAAGATGCGTACCGACGTCAGAGTTGTGAAAATGTGAAGACAGCATGCTTCAGAATGAGTGACGTGTGGTAA